GGCTTGCCTTGCATCCACGAGCCAGCCGCCTGCAGAAAGCATCGCAGCAACGACACTTCAAGGCCTACCTAGAAGCTGCAACCCTAAGGGTCCATGTACCCAAATAGTATATACTTTGGCCTTAAAGTAGTCCCTGTAGGTACTTTGGGGCCAATGTATATACTATATGAGTACATGGACCCTTAGGGCTTTTTGTCAAACCGAAGATGTACTGAGACTGACATGGATGGGGTCTACATGTGCCTGTTGTGGAAAAAAACTGCAAACACTACCAGGCGAAGCTGGGATTCCTTTACGCTTCGGATTTCCTTTGAGAACCTGTATGTCCACTGTGCCTGCTTGAAAAGGGCCACTAAAGCAATGCAGAATCTTGTGCCTACAACGGATAACTCTTGGCTTTTTGGGTTTGCTCACAAGGGCGTCTTGCTCTGCAGATTTGGCCCTGTGGACCTGTGGATCTGGTGGCAAGGCAAGCGTGGAAGCGCACTGTCCATCCACACTTCCGAGGTCTTTAGACTCTGGCCACGGCGGTAGAAGGACCTACAGCCCAAGAGCCGACCTGCTGAGAGAGGATCACCTCGAAGGGAACCTCTAATCGCAACCTAAGACACCCCAAAACACCTGAAGCCCTGACTGAACCTACAGCATACCAGCCCCCTAAACCCTAAACCCCATAAGCCCTATAAACCCCAAACCCTGAACCTATAAGTCTCCAAAGTACACGCACCTCAAGACCCAAAACGCCTAGAGCCCCCAATGCCCAGTGCTCCCAAGCCCCGGGCTCCCTAACCCCTCCCCCCCAACCTTAAAAGGCTCCTGAGACGGATCTATGGGGTTCGAAAAAAGTTGAGGGTTAAGGGTTTAGAGTTGAAACAGTATAGTATAAGGGCTCAGGGTTTAGGGTTGCAATAAGCGTTTAGGGTTTAGGGTTGTTAGGGGCCTTCTTTATCTACATGTTCAGAGTTCATAATCCACCTTGGCTTCGGGACCTCCTTTGGATGATGCGGAGACCTTGGCCAAGGGAGATGCAAAGCCATCTGATACTCTAACATCCTACGGTTTAGGGTTGAGGGATTTTTGGTCAAGGGCTTGCGGCCTAGAAGCCCTCACCCCGAAACTGCAGTTGAACCCTAAGCTGTAATCTAGAAGCCCTCAACACCACAGTTCAGCTATACCCTGTAACCCCTCGAAGCCTAGAAGCGCCAAGTAGACCGGTAACCCAGAACCCCGATGCGAACCGAAATCAATTTCGTAGTTGGGAACCCTAAGCGTCCAAGTAGACGAGTAGTAGGGCTTTACGGCCAAAATACTATACTCTGACTGATGTTTTGTTCCCAAAACCCTATTGTTCGGATACTTGGACCCTTGTCTGGTTCTTAAAAAGCCCTGCTCTTTGGGGTACTTGGACCCTCTGGAAAAGACGGATCTGACCGCCGACTGGGCTGAAAGTCTCCGGAAGCCCTCACCCCAGCAAATGCGAAGTTGTTAGTTACCCTTTGCAGCCGACGACACCCGGGATTTGGGGTTCGGGTTTGAGGTTTAGGGGTTCAGGCGTTCAGGCGTTTAGGGTTTAGGGTTTAGGGTTTAGGGGTTCAGGGTTTAGGGTGGGCCTTTGGGGTTTGGGGTTGAGGGTTTAGGGTGTAGCTGCCGTGTCAAGTACATCTTGCGTGTCGCCCAGTGCCCACCCAACTGCAGGCTGCTAGTGTAGGGGCCTTGATAATTAGAGTATGGTTTTGGGGCCCATTATACTAGTTATCATAAGGAACCCAAACGAATAATATTTGTAACTGTTTAGGCCCCTATTTTAGACGAATTCCGATCCTTTCAGGGCTTCCATTTGAGCACTCGGCCCCTTGTCATTAACGATCATTAGTGCAATTAGGGTATTTTTTTCGGAAGGTATGTTTTCAGGCAGGCTGAAGTCGTTTGAATTATTGTGACGAATTTTGAATGAAATGCAAGCACTATGCATGATTTTGAAGTATTTGGCATGAACTCAAATGCCCGCTTCAAACTTGACTGCCTGATTTCAGGTGTAGGGTTTAAGGTCTGGGGTTCAGAGTTTAAGGTTTAATGGGTTTAGCATTAAAGACTTAGGGTTTTAGGGTTCACTGTTTAGGGCTTAAGGTTTTTCAGATTTAAGGATTTGGGGTTTAAGATTTAAGGTTCCGGGAATAGCGTTTTGAGGTAGACGTCTTTCTTTAACTGTTATCAGGAACTCCCAGAGTAGTATAGGTAACTATTCAGGCCCCTATATTACACGAGCCCAACAGTCCAGAAGCTCTGCAACTCTACATCTTCACGGGCTTTGTGATGTTCCAGCCCCTGCAGCCCGGTCAGCTTACTTGTACGGAGCAGGGTTTAGGGTTTAGGGTTTAGGGTTTAGGGTTTAGGGTTTAGGGGTTTAGGGTTTAGGGTTTAAGGGTTTAGGGTTTAGGGTTGAGGGTTTAGGGACCCTCAACCATACCTGTAGTAGTCTCCATTGCAGTTCCACTTGTTGGTTTAACCAAGCTTCATTTTAGGATCCTATCAGGCAATCCACAGAAAAAGGAACAGCAATGGAGAATCTCGGTATGTATTGTAAATTCCCCAAACACCAACCAAAATAACAGCTCACCCCTAAACCCTAAGCCGCTTTGCTAGACCCTGGAACTGCACCGAACCCTCCTCCTTCAAAGCTGAGGGCGCAAACGTCGATCTCGACCTGCGCTTCCTGTCAAGCATCTTTCAGTTTGGGGGGTTTAGGGCTGAGGGTTGCGTCAAGCATCTTTACGTAAGATAACAGTTAGTTCGCATACACCACACAAGTTAGTCCAGCTCGTAAACAAGAGTTTTGGGCACAGGTTTGGTGATGTCTCCGTATTTGAGTTTTTTGGGTCGCGGGACTCGGGGCTCAGGGGCTGATCGTGTTGAGAGCTTCGGGTCTACATGCATGTCCAACTTTCCTCGCAGAACTTCTTCGTAGAAGACTTCTTCGGGGTCTCTGCACCAGGTCGCCCATCTGCCATGCGGCCACCAGCTGCTTCGATGCATTCGGTTGAGAGCCTAAACACAAAACTCCTCAAGCCCTCAGCCCCCAACCCGGAGAAAATCTCTACTAAACCCTCAACCTTGAACGGCAACTCGCCGAAGCCCCAAGCATGAACCTAAACCCCTCAACTAAGCCTCGTCGTCCTCGGGTGTGATGCCAGACACCTTTCCGCATCTAGGAATCTAATATATTGGCCTTAACTATTAGAATAAGGTATAGTATACTATAATTTTAATAAGGAGTCAACCCTATAATTATTAGAATAAGGTATAGTATACTATAATTTTAATAAGGAGTCAACCCTATTCTAATTATTATGACCCCTACATTACTCTGGAGATCCCGGCTTCAGGACGGGTTGGGTTTGGGGCTTCGGGAGTTTATTGACATTGTTTGGAGGAGTCATGATGTTCAACGTGTGGATCCTAAGTCCAGGATGTGGCGATCAGGATGGTTTAGGGGTTTTGGCGTTTGCCTCAGGTTTTTAAGCTTGCCACTCCAGCGATCCTTCATGCAAAGATTATACATAGGCCGCTAGGGTCAGAACCTTGTTCTTCGGTACCTCTTTAGCACGTCCTGGTTGAGCACTTCGACCATTCGGGCTTGCCACATCCAGGATTTGAGGTCTCGATCTTCCCCGACACCTATACCTTAAAACCGGTTGAGCACTTCGACCATTCGGGCTTGCCACATCCAGGGTTTGAGGTCTCGATCTTCCCCGACACCTATACCTTAAAACCTCGAGCACTGCCCCGTTGGGGCTTCATGCACAGCGCTCGAATCCGTCAACTCAATGTAGCCCATGAAGCTTAACTCGCAAACCCTCTATGATCCTGTTTGTGTAGCTACGACCGATGGTCTTGGAATAAGAGCAGAATCTGGCTTCTAGCAAGACACAATGTGAGAAATTGGCTTGCTTGATTCGAAGTTGTGGAAACTTCCTAGAGACTTCAAACTGAGCTCGTGTTTATTTTCAGGTGTAAGGGCTTTCTGATCGTGGAGCTTTCAATCGTGGGCATCAGGGTCTTGTGGCGGAGGTGGTGTTGGTTTGAGCTCAACCCGGACAGTCTACGACAACTAAGGCCTTTCAAACGTACATGTTGGGAACTCTGCACGAAGAGAGCACACGCTCTTCGCTCTGAGTCAACAGTCTTTTCGGTCTACTGTTACTAAGGCATGGTCTGACCGGTTTAGGGTTTAAGGGTTGAACATTGAGACTTCGACCTCCACAACATCAGTCCTGATGGATTCTTAGAAACAACAACGGCCTTGGTGTGGAATTGGGTTTTGGGTCCGCTACAGTGGAATTGAACTCAAAGGCTACACACCACTTGCGGATTTTCAGCTGCCGGAATCGTCTATCCATAGCTGCTGGAAGTCGTGCACATCAGGCCAACTCACTAGCCTTCGTCGGATGCCTCCTCCTGCACTTGAGTGTCAACTCCCTTTTGGAGATGTGATGGCCAGAGTCTGAAATAACTCAAGGGTTCAGGGCTGTAGGGTTTAGGGTGTCGGGCTAGGGGTGTAGGGCTTCAAAACTCATGAAGGCAACTAAGGACTTAGGGTTCAAGTCTTGGTAACCCAAAGCTTTGACAGCAAAATCTGGGCAGAGCAGCTTCAAGCGATGACCGGGTCCTTTGGCATCAGCTCGTGCACAGCGTTAACCATGGTGCAAAACCCTCAATAATGAGAATAAGGCTTCGGGCCCAAAACCCAAACCCAACAATTTTTGACCCTAAACCCAAGACCCTCAGCCCTTATTAACCTCCAACCCTAAACCGTCATAAACCCTCAGCCCCCACCATGAAGCGTCAACCCTGACAGAACCCTCTCAGGAGACCGAATCATTTTGAGGAACCCCCAAGAATGTGGCAGCAAATCAGATCCAACCCTCAAACTCTGAGTTTGGGGTTGAGGCTTCTGGGTTGGGGTTTAGGGTTACCCCCTATGAAATTCCGTAAACGCCCGGTGAAACCCCACGGGAAAACAAGCAATGCCCTATGAAGCAGTATAACAAAGCTACAGAGTCCATGGCATGGGAGAAAACGTCTGGCTGGAGTGATGGCGTGGATCAATGCCCTGCTACTCGTCTGTGGGGCTGCGCTTGCCTTCCACCACCGAGATTTAAAACAAAAACTAAATCCCCAACCCCTCAGGCAACCCTAAACCCGTAAAGAAACAGCTAAACCCTAAACTGAGTAACAGCGCCATTGTGACCAGGGTTGTTTGGCACCATCCATGGTGGCGGCATTGCAACGACAAATGGGTAAACTTGTGTTTTGTGCATAGGCTTGACTACGGGGTTTGTTTTGGAGAGTGGTAGGAATGTGCCGTTGTTGCCATGTTTGGTTCTTCGAAGCAGGAGAAGATTGGCCTCAGTGGGACATTTCCAGCTTCGCCAATGGGATTCGTTAAGGAAGTCGTTTATTCTCTCCTGCTTCAGTGTTGTTCCTGTTCTTGGCCCCTGCCAGCCGACTCAGGTCCGTCCACAGCTGCTTGTGAGAGCTGAAACGGAACATAATTGAACAGCAGCATTACAACAGGCTCGGGATCAGCTCAAGCCGAGACAAATTATGGACGTTTAGTGCTTGCCAATCCTTACAACACAATATGAAACTACACCACACGAGAAACGCGGGCCCCCACAGCGTTCCTTTGTGTATATTTACCGGTTCGACGCAGCCACACAGGTGAACCTACCAAGCTACTGCAGCTCAGCATGAGTTTTTCGTGGCCATCGGGCTTGCCGACCCCTACACTCTAAACCCCGAACCCTCAACCCGGAACTCACAACAAAAAACCGAAAACCCTAAACCCCATCGGAAAGGCATGCTATCGGGAGCCATAGTTGCGCCCTGCAGGGTCTTGGGTCCCAACAGAATCCCAGAAAAGCAAACCCTTAACTAACCACGTCACCGCTTACTTGCAGCTGAACTTCCATGTGCACCGTCGTATCACAACAGAGTTGCATTTTCGACGCAACCACGATGGCATGCGATGTGAAGCCCAAACTCTATACCCGCGTATTGGTCTAAACCCTGAGCCTTCATCGCTGGAAGCCTACATAGTTCTACAGTTATGCGAGCAATTACGGTTTAGAACAGTATGTGCAGCAGGCCAGAAGCCACGTCATGCTGAGATTCTGCTGTGCACTCCGAGCTAGGTTGGCAAACATTTTCAGTCCGAGCCAGATACTAGTACCTATGTGCCCCTATATATATATATACCCATACATACATCCAAATGGTTGTGCACATACACTATATACACCATACATATCTATATATATATATATGTTCATCAACCCGAAATCCTAAACCCTATAAACCCTCAATCTACCCCCAAAGCCGGATTCCAATCAAAGCTGCTAGGAGTGATGGGTTCAGGCGAGTGAAACTCTGTTCTAATGAAACTATCAAAACGCCTAATGACGGGGCTTTCATAATTAGAATAGGGTTCTGGGCAGACGAAAGTCTAATTATAACAGGGAACGTTAGCCCTAGGGAAAAAGATTGGTAATTACTAAGCCTTCCATAGTATGTTACAAGGTTTTATAGTTGGCACTCGAGCACTTCCCGCGGTTTGGGATGCCATGAACGGAGGACTCCAACACTTGCGGAGGATGTGGGGGCCTTCGAACAATGAGGGGCGCTCGGAATAAGAGGCGACTCTAAGGGCCTAACTAATTACCAATACTATTGAGGGGGTTCCTTATTCTAACTATAGTCTAACGCACCCCCAAACCCTAATTATTCTAATTGTTCAGGCCCCTATATTAATAACTCCCATGTCTGCTTGTGACGAAGCTCAGAAGCGCAGTGCGAAGAATTGAAAACATGTGAGCAGAGGTTTGAGAACTGTCCCAGGCGAGGTGTCCTCCTCGAGGCTATGGGTTGCTTGAATCCCCCAAAAGAGCTTGAGCACGCAAGGCATAAGTTTAAGATGTGATGCCTTGACGTTTGTGGCATTTAGGGCTTTTGGGGGCTTCAGGAGGTCCTGGCAAAGCCTTGCAAGTGCATGACCCCTAATAGACCCTTAGCACGACACTCAAGAAACCCCAAACCCTGGACCCCATACCTTGATTAAACCCTAAACCCTATACACCCCAAACCTTACGCAAACACTATAGTAGAAGCCCAAAAGTTGAAACCCAATAGCCTCAATCCTTCAGAGTAGTGCATAAGGAATTTCCGCACTATTTGTCCTGAATCCGGTTTCCAACTTTTGGGGGTGTACTATGTACCCGGAATCCTCAACCTCTAGATCGCTGAAGGCTTTGGGGTTCGAAGAATCGCCATACGGGACTGGCACAAACCTCCACTGAGATTCGAATTCTGCAGAGAAGCACCAAACTCCAAAACCCCTGAAACTAAGACATTTACTAACATACCTTAGAGCATGCTGCTAGGCTTTAGTTTAGGGTTTAGGGAACCCTGAACCCCAAATTAAGGAGGGATGATTGAAGAATTTAAACTATTCCTCAATTGAGGGGGTTGGAGGTCTCCGACAAGTTGCCGACAGCCCCGTGTCTTACTGTGACTTCCTCCACACCGCCCAGCTCACTTAATTTAGGGTTGCGAATTGATTAAGAACTTCAATACGGATGCTGGGGCATACTTCATAAGTTTATCACAGTATGATTACATAGGGCATTGGGACTCTCCGAGGATATTGCTACTACTCGCTCAGACCTCTATGTCAGCAGGCTCCCACAAGCTCTAACCTCTTGGCGTGACATAGCGCCCAGGAGACAAACGTGGCAGTGGCGAACACTTTGAAAGTTGGGTTCTCGACAGGTGTATTCGTGCTCTTAGTTCCCCTCTATCAGCTTAGCTGGACTTCCCAAGCTTCCGTGACCCAAAATCCTGAACCGTCAGCCCAAACAAAACCCGAAACCTGGATCGCAGGCCCTAAACCCTAAACCCTAATCACAGGTGCCAGAGGGGTCCACTGCAAGAGTGCTGCCAGTCAAGCCTGACGGAGCTTTGAAATGGGGTCCAAGGCTTCGGGTTCCCCGGGGTTCGGGTTCACTCAGGTACCAACAAAGCCCAGGTTTAGGGTTTAGGGTTTAGGGTTTAGGGTTTAGGGTTTAGGATCTGTTCTCCTTGAATTAAGGACTACCTCAATGTAAAATGTTTTGACAACGAAGCCTTTAACTATCAGT